AGTGCAGTGGCGCAATCTCGGCTCACTGCAACCTCCACCTCCTGGGTTCAAGCTATTCTTGCGCCTCAGCCTCCCTGAGTAGCTGGGATTACCAGCCCCCACCACCACATCCGGCTAATTTTTGTAGTTTTAGTAGAGATGGGGTTTTGCCATGTTGGCCAGGCTGGTTTCAAACTCCTAATCTCAGGTGATCCACCCGCCGCCTCAGCCTCCCAAAGTGCTGGGATTACAGGCATGAGCTACTGCGCCTGGCCTATTTATTTTTTTGAGATGGAGTTTCGTTCTGTCACCCAGGCTGCAGCAGCTCACCACAATTTCCACCTCCTAGGTTCAAGCGATTCTTCTGCCTCAGCCTCCCGAGTAGCTGGGATTACAGGAACCTGCTACCACACCCGGCTAATTTTTGTATTTTTAGTAGAGATGGGGTTTCACCATGTTGGCCAGGCTGGTCTCAAACTCCCAACCTCAGCTGATCCACCCACCTTGGCCTCCCAAACTGCTGGGATTACAGGCATAAACCACCGAGCCCAGCCCAATTTTATCTTTTTCTTTTGTTGCTCATGTTTTTTATGTCCTATCTAAGAATCCACTGCCAAGTCCAGGGTCATGATTATTTTCCTCTATGTTTTCTTCTATGAACTTTATAGCTTTAAGCTCTTATATTTAAGTCATTGATCTAGTCTTGAGTTAACTTTTGTATATGTTGTGAAGTAAGGGGTTCCATTTCATGGTGTGGGTCAAGATGGTCAGGGGGAGACCTATGTTAATTCTAGCTAAATAATTATAAGCTTGGTTGGGTCAGAGTACACTGAAGTTTATACACCAAACTACACGATATTATTGGTGCAGTTAATTAGAAATCAAGCAGCAACAGGAAGCCTAAGGTAAAGGCCATCCAGGAGCGCAGTAAACACCGGGGAACACCGAGCGGAGGTTGCAGAGCAGGGAATACTGCTCTGGTCCCACGAATGCCTTCTCAACGTGGAGACTGCATGAGGGTCTCCTAAAGAGGGCTTGTGCAAAGATCTCTGAGAAGGGAGGCAACATCTGCTCACAAGATCTGGGAGGGTCTTTGCGGATGGGAGCTGGCAAGGAGGAGAAAAGCCTTGCAGGGCAGAGATCACGAAACGCCTCAGGCTCTGCCTAGGTTCTTGGAATATAGAGTGATTTTAATTGCTCTATGTCCTCAATGCTCGGGAGATAAAAGCCCCTAGATGCGTTGGGAGTGTTCAGACCGGGTGGCTCCTCCTCCGCTATGCTTCTGATGCAGCAGCACCCTGATAACAATCAGCGATAAATGCAGAGCACTAGTTTAGCTCGTCTTAGAAGGATCTCAAGTGCAAGTGCTCCCAGCTCCATCTTACCTACCCCTTCACCTTCCCTTTCCACGTCCATAAGATCAATAAGATTATGCACATAATAAAAGTGTTTGGAGCCTAGAGCTCAGGGCCAGTGCGGTTCCCACTCTTGTGTTGGTCCCCTGGACCCATGCTATAAATTCTACTCTTGTGTCTGTCTTTATTTCCTTTTCTCAATCCCTCGTCACCACTGGGACTAAGGGCACCCACATACGGGGTTGGGGCTGGTACCCAACACATGGAAATATCCAGTTGTTCCAGCACCATTGGTTGAAAAGAACATTCTCTCATTATATGGGTTTTTATCTGAACTCTCAATTTGATTTCACTAATCTACTTGTTTTACTTTAAATCTGAAATAATTATTATTTTCCCTTAAGAGTAAACAGCAAGAAAGGAAGTGGATTCAGAAACTACATTACTCTTTCAGAAAATTTAATTATGTTGAAAAGGAAAGAGAAAGGGCGCAGCCAGAGGGGAATGCCTTGCATCTCTCACATGCTCCACAGTACATTAGATGAGTTCTATATGATATTTAACTCAATGCTCAAATTCTTCAAGATTATTTTGGTTCCATAAAAAAGGAAACTAAAATTCAGTGACATTAATTAACATTCTTGCCCATGTTCATGCACAGCCCTGAATGGCAGAGCCGAAATTGTACCCTAGATCTATTTGATTGTATATTCTGTATTTTCCCCACTCTATTGTTTTGTGTCCAGTTTTGGACATGACTTTATCGTGCCTTGGGACATACAGGGAGAGATATCTAGTTTACATTTTAAAATATAGTACTAGGATGGGTGCGGTGGCTCACGCCTGCAATCATAGCACTTTGGGAGGTGGGGGTGGGTGGACTGCCTGAGCTCAGGAGTTCGAGACCAGCCTGGGCAACACAGTGAAACCCTGTCTCTACTAAAAACAAAAAAATTAGCCGGGCGTGGTGGCATGGATGTGTAATACCAGTTACTCGGGAAGCTGAGACAGGAGAATCACTTGAACCCAGGAGGTGGTGGTTGCAGCCAGTCGAGATTGGGCCACTGAACTCCAGTCTGGGCAACAGAGTGAGACTCTGTCTCAAAAAACAAACAAACAAACAAACAAACAAACAAAAATACATATATGTATATAGTACTGAAGCTCAGAAAAGAACTGAGATTTGAGATAAAACATAAAAATGATCGGCACACAACAGTAGTTAAAGCCACAGGAGTGAAAGAGATTACCGGAAGCCAAAGACAATATGAAAAGGGTTTGGTTTAGGCTTCACTTGGATGGAATCCCAGGACACATCAACACTCAATAATTACAGCAGAATAAAAGGAGATTCACGAAGGACTAGAAGGAAAACTCAGGTATTTACTTTACTACCCTGCAAGTCCAATGAGGGCAAGTGCCAAGTCTAACTTGTTCATCTCTGTATCTCCAGCGTCTAACATTGATGGTAAATAATGGATGCTCAGTAAATATGTTAAATGAGTAATATGAATGACACTGAAACTGAAAAAGAAGAAAGTTTCCAGGAGACTTTTAGAGAATAGCAAATGCTTTTGAAAAGACAATGAAACGTAAGGTTTAAAACATAACCACTTGATTAGGCAACAAGAAAGTCAACAGTGACCCAACAAGAAGAACACTAAGCAGAGTGGCAGATAAAAGACTGTAGTGGCTTGAATACTGAACAGCAAGTGAGGAAGAAAAGAGAGCAACTATACACTATTCTTTTAAGAATTAAGATGTAGAGGAATAAGATAAATAAGAAGATGTAGAGGAATAACAAAAATAAGTCAGTAGCTAGAGAGCTGGCAGAGTTACACAAGTGTGTATGTTTTCAAATAAGACATTGCAGCTTGTTTGTGAATACAGATATCACTGGAAGCATTAGATTAACACCCTAGTTTTCAAGCAGCTGTAGATTTATTTGTAGTATTTTAAATAAATACTATATATGCACAAAGTAATTTTCTGGGGGGGGGATTTATTATACTTAAGAAAAGAATTTTTTTTTTTTTTTTTTTTTTTTTTTTTTTTTTTTTTTTTTTTTTTTTTTTTTTTTTTTTTTTTTTTTTTTTTTTTTTTTTTTTTTTTTTTTTTTTTTTTTTTTTGAGACAGAGTCTCACTCTGTCGCCAGGCTGGAGTGTAGTGGCGTGATCTTGGCTCACTGCAACCTCTGCCTCCTGGGTTAAGGCAATCTCCTGCCTCAGCCTCCTGAGTAGCTGGGACTACAGGCATGAACCACCATGCCCAGCTAATTTTTGTATTTTAGTAGAGACAGGGTTTCACCATGTTGGCCAGGATGGTCTCGATCTCTTGACCTTCTGATCCACCCACCTCAGCCTCCCAAAGTGCTGGGATTAAACTACCGTGCTCAGCCAAAAAAGAAATTTCTAAATATTTACACCTATTGACATTGGCAGTTTACACTAATCTGAAGAAATCAATGAATAAAATAATAATAAAATAATATCTCCAAATGATATAAATGACCATTTTGAAACATTGCTAGAAAACTGAAACTAATTCTGGTAATAAAATAATTTGTTGCCAACGTGGCAAAACCCCATCTTTACTAAAAACACAAAAATTAGCCAGGCATGGTGGTACATGTCTATAATCCCAGCTACTGGGGAGGCTGAGCAGGAGAATCGCTTGAACCCAGGAAGTGGAGGTTGCAGTGAGCAGAGATCATAACAGTGCCCTCCAGCCTGGGTGACAAGAGCAAAACTCCATCCCTCCCCTCCACCAAAATAATTAAATAAATAAATTTCTTTCATTCTCAGCATAGATACATCATCCAAAAGTTTAAGATAGCTGGGATCAGAGGTTTAAAATGCTATTTTATTTACTCTACAAAAAAATTTTTACATTTCATATTTTTGCAAGTATTTTCAGTATTTTTCTTTAGGTTTCTTAATGTGGTTTTAAAAATTGTATATTTAACATAAAAATTTGTTTCCAGTCAGCTTTTCACTATTTGGTTTTTATAAATTATTTAGATATCTTTCAATTAGGCCTGATTAAAAGATAAGAAAGTGTGAACTAAGCCAAAAGGCAAAATACAAACTAAAATAGAAGTTACCAGACAGGGTAGCTCCCCAACAAGTTTGAACAAATGGGAAAAAATGTAAGTGGGCATGGAGCAGGTTAAAATATACTTTCTAGCCATGGCCACTAGATGGTGCAAACATTTGCAGGACAAACTAAATGCCCTAAGCACTCAAAGTTTTAAAGGATATCTCTCCAGAAACCAAACTCCTTGCTTCAAGGAAGAAGTGGACATTTTTTGTGCTATTTATTTGGGAATGTAGGAAGATTTATTATATATGTATGTGTTTTTGTTGTTTTGTATTTTGCTTTTTCAGCATAAATGTTTTGAGCTTGTACGTTCTTCAAAGATATTTTGCCCTCTCTGAGTCAACAACATCCTGCCTGCATGTGGCTGAATGGCACTGGGGGTGGTGATGGCATATGTCTTCACAGTCGTAGAACTAACTCAATTCCAGTATTGCTACAGAAACAAAATAGCATAAAAGTGAGGTACTACAAGAAAAATTACCTCTCCAAAATACTGGTAGTGTGAAAAATACTAAATTTCCGGTCTAATATGCTAGGAGTCCCTACTGACCAAAAACGAGTACTTACTTGAATTAGGGGGCCAGGACTCCCGGTATTCACTCCCTACTTGAGTTCTGGGTGACTTGACCCGAACCTGGGGAGCCACACAAAAATCACAGGAGTTAGGATCAATGGGAGAGCTTAACCAAGATATTTAAATCATAAACATGTGCTTAAGATACTACATACTTTTCTACCACCTCTTCCACAACATATACAATAGAATATATTTATCCTAACAATAATAATATATATGAAAGGCTTTCTGGTTTCCAATGCATTTTCCATATATTTTCTCATCCAATGCCAAGCTCATTGGGGGTGGGTGGGAGGGGAAGAAGCAGTAAAGAGAGACCCTGTGGGGTCAAGAGCCACAGTCCTTACACAGCTATACAGTTGCTGGGAGCAAGAGTGACCATGAACTCCTTCTCTGGATTGTCAAACCATGATGAATAGTCAGTTTCACTGAGAGAAAAACCAATAGAGAAAAACAACGGCAACCTTTAACAAGGTCTTATAGGTCTTCGCACTGCCTTCATCTCAATTAAAATTCATAAAACCCTGCTTTCTCAGGAGCTTGCCTAAGAGAGACACCACAGCAAGAGGGTTACCTTTCTTTCTTGTTTCTTCTGCGTCTCCGTAACGTGCAGGCGCTCCATAAGGCTGGAGATGCCCTGCTCCAAGCTGTCAATGGTGTGATGCTGAGGATCGTGGCCACTGAAGCTGTTGCGCAGGCTGCGGAGAGCATCTCGAACAAGCTGCAGGTCGCTGGTCTGTGGGCAAAAATAAGGTGCTGCTAGCATGGCACGGTGCCATGTCCCAACCACTAGGCTTAAAAGGATATAGGAGTCAGGTTTCCAGAAGAGATTTTTTACCCCTACAGAAGCAGGCCTATGGTTTGCCCACTAATTCTTAATTTTGGATAGCAAGTGCCTCACATCTTTACATACTCCACAGATCCAAGAATTAGGGAAGTGGACTCTAAAAGGCCTCATCCACTGGCCATGGCTTTGGCACTCTTCTGGTTTCAGCGAGAAGTGGCAGGTCTATATCAAAACTCCAGGTACCTACCCCTCTGTTGCTGATTGAAGCAGCTCCTTTTCCTGCCGTTGGAAGGAGAAAACCATTGCTTTGAGAGCTGTGACTGTTGTAGTTGGTTTCCTATAGCAGCATGAAGAAATGTCGCTTGTTAAAGGGAGAATGGTAAACCAGATGTGCTGTCTTATTTTTCTTCCTTACATTTATCACTTCCTGACAAAGTATATAATAGTTTATTTGTTTAATGGCTCTCTTTATTAAAACGTATATTTCATAAGTATAGCTTTTCCCCACTTTTGGTCGCTGCTGTATGCCCAGCACTTGACAGTATACATTGTTGAATGTGAATGAAGGAAATGCTAACCTCCACCCGGAGACCCCCCAACCTAGCCTCTGCCATGGCACTGGAGAGCCTCAGAATGCTACTCCAGCACTGCCTGGCTTTGTTTCATATATATATGAAACATATATATATATATATATATATTTGTTTTGTTTTGCTTTTTGAGACACAGTTTCACTGTGTCAACAAGGCTGGAGTGCCGTGGCACAATCTCAGCTCACAGCAACTGCCCACCTCCCAGGTTCAAGTGATTCTCCTGCCTCAGCCTCCAGAGTAGCTGGGGTTACAGGCACGTACCACCATGCTCAGCTAATTTTTTGAATTTTTAGTAGAGACGGGGTTTTGTCATGTTAGCCAGGGTGGTCTTGAACTACTGACCTCAGGTGATCTGCCCACCTCGGCCTCCCAAAATGCTGGGATTACAGGCGTGAGCCACCATACCGGCCTACATAAGCCCTATTTCTAAGGTTCAGATGATAAGCAACTGAAGGCCACACAATGTAGGAGTGGTAAAGGTGGAATATGAAACCAGATTTTCTTATTCTGGAACCTGCCCTCTTAACTAGCTCATCATAGAGCCTCCTAACAATCCTGTGGCCTTGGTTCAGCTCTCAGTCAGAAACACAACCTTCCCAATTGCCTCATAAATGTGGCAGGGAGAACCCAGGGTCTAGGTTACCTCATCAGCCTCTCTTTTCATACAGTGAGCCAAGAGGACATCTTTGTGTTCTAGCTCTCGCTCTAGATCCACCTGCAAAACAGACACTAAATTAGAAAAGGATTTCTTTGGACCAAAGGGACAGGAAAATCAGTGGCTGAATATGTTCTGACCTGGTGGTAACTGGCATCAGAGAGTTTCCGGAGTGCTTCTTCTAACTTGGCCTGGTGCTGCTGAAGGAGGCGATCCTTCTGCCCTAGCTCTTTCTGCAATAAAGATAGAGCTTTCAGATGACTGGCAAAACCAGGAACACTGAAAAGTTCACCCTCTTCAAAATAATGTCCACTCAAGTAAAGTAGAGCCTCAGGGAAAAAAGTCCTTTCCTTAAATATACCAGGAAGACTTTACACACCTTAATAGTCTAACACAGTGCAGAGGATTCTTCGATAGTAATGAGGAAGGGAACTACCACTTGTAGGAGGACCACTCTGAGCCATTCACACTAGTCAGAGATAAAGGTGAGACTAGAACTGAAGTTTCCAGACCCCTAATTCTGTGCTCCCTCTCCTAGCTGTGCCATTTATCCTTTAGGGCTAGTGTATCAGGGGACACAGAAAAATACTTCCTTCTAAAAAGCAAGGATGAAAAAAATAATAAAAAATAAAAAGCAAGGATGAGACTAGAATACTTAAGTGTTTTTTGAGCAACAATAATGAGCTGTTCATGAAAGGTCAGTGGAAGTCATTTCCAACCTGATATTCATTCTTACTTTATATTCTCCCAAGAGCCGGTTCCTCTCATCAAGCTTCCTCTGCAGATCCACCTGCAAGGATAGGAAAGAATTCACGGCAGGGAGGTATTGTCTGCTAACCCTCAAGGAAATCAGCTACTTAGTAACCATAGTTAATGTTGGCAGTTACAGTATGTAGCACAAACAGGGCATGATGGTAAAAATACACAGCTGCTCTCCACATTTGTAGTGAAATAATTAGACTGTAGAACCACAATTTTGCCTCTATATCTCAGTGTCCTCAAAGTTGAAGAGGATATCAAGGACCTTCCTGCCCAGTATGATGTACGCTTTCACCTAGGAACAGAGATGAGTCTAGTGGGGAATAAAAATAATTGCACACACTTAGGGTACACATCCCAGAAGCAAGATAAGAGATTAGGATGGCTGATCTAATAGCACTTCAAGCAGTAACCTGTTCTGCTAATGGGGCTCACTGAGGTCAACGCTCATTCATTTAACTCACATTCTGGTTGTGCAGCTCATCTTTGTCCATGTTTGCCCTCAGTAGCTCTTGTTTGAGCTGAAGAACAGATGTGTCCTGCTGAGTCAATCTCTGCTGCAAGGCATCCTAAGGGAAAAAGCATACTAATTGTTGTTGTCTCAATTCATCAATCAGCCAGTTATCGCTAAAAATTACTAAACCCTTTAATGTGTTTCCAGCATTCATTATGGCAGACTGGAAGACAAATGGAGTGAAAGGGTCTTGCCACAAGTTGCTGAGCAGGGGTTTTTCTGTCCCCCTCTACGAAGCTAGCATCCAGAGCTAAATCCTAACCACTATTCTATAAAACTTACTGAGACCTGATTTTTTCTCTTCTTAATAGCATTAGGCTTTCTTTCCCTCAGGTTGAATCCTCTTGGTTCCTATCACGCCTAACAAAACATGAGCTGGATATCCTTACTTATAAGGACAGTTATGACAAATTCCATCGACCATGGTGGCTTCAAATGGAACTAATGGACTAGGGCTGCATTCTAATACATTTGTCCTGACTTTTCTCTCTTTACAGATTGCAAAGAAATGGTACAGACTCTGAAGAATGTGGGAACCCATTCTTAATTATGCTCTCTCCCATGACAGTACATGGTAAAGGTACTAAGATACCCTTAGCATCAGTAGTTTAAAGGAATATTTCTCAAAGTGTGCTCCATGGGACATTATTGTGCCCCACGGCATTACGTGGGAGAAAAGATACTTCTGTGGTTAATAATTCTAAGTCATTTTTAGGCCAACCTCTTTTTGGCAGACCTTTTCAGATCCTTTAATATGTTATTATTCACAGGGAGTCTTCAAGACTGCAGAGCATTTCTCAAACTTATCTGACCATGGAACACATTTGTTTTCAGAAATGTTTCCAAAGTATGAAGCCTACAGAATATACTTTGGAAAATGTTGCTGAGTGATAACTCTAGTCTAGCCCATGAATGGATACATAAGGAAGAGGGGAAAAACAGCAACTTAAAAACATCCTCTTCTACTTCTAGGTATTATTCCACAAATATACTCCCATTTGGGTGAAATGACATAGAGTCAAGGCTGTTAGATCATTGTTTATATTAGCAAAAGATTGGAAATTATCATATATAATAAATCATTCAGCATATATGTATATATACAGTGAAATATTATGCAGCCATAAAAAAGACCTAGGAAAGTTTTTATGTACTACTGACATGGAATGAGCTCAAAGATACACTACTAAGTGAAAAAAAAGCAAGGTATTAAGATATATTTATAGTATACTGCCATTTGAGTAAAACCATGGAGGAAAACAATATACACACTGATGTGCTCATAACTGTTAAGATGCCTCTAGGAGGCTGGGTGTGGCGACTCACATCTGTAATCCCAGCACTGGGAGGCTAAGGTGGGTGGATCACCTGAGGTCAGGAGTTCAAGACCAGCCTGGCTAACATTAGCCAGGTATAATGGCGGGCACCTATAATCCCAGCTACTCAGGAGGCTGAGGCAGGAGAATTGCTTGAACCCGGCAGGTGGAGGTTGCAGTAAGCCAAGATCACGCCACTGCACTCCAGCCTGGGAGACAGAGTGATACTCCGTCTCTAAAAAAAAAAGATGCCTTTAGGAAAGAGAACTAGGTAACTGAGGGAAGAGGGCTGGCAAGCAAACTCTTCATGCATGGTTTATTTATTTTTTAAATTAATTTATTTTTTTTTTAAAGACAAGGTTTCACCATGTTAGTCAGGCTGGTCTTGAACTCCCAACCTCAGGTGATCCACCCGCCTTGGCCTCCAAAGTGCTTGGATTACAGGCGTGAGCCACTATACCCGGCTGGTTTATTTTTTTATACCTTTAAATGATTTGAATGTTAGTTAAGTATTCAAAAACAAAGTAAATTATAAGTTTTCTTTTTTTTTTTTTTTACTGATCATGTCAAAGGAAATTTCAGTGTTAAGTAAATTATAATTTTTTAAAAGACATTCTTTCACATTGAAGAGGATTCCTTTACATACAGAGACAATCAAGGTGGCACAGATGGAAATGGCAGCACCATGAGTCATAACTACTAGAAATAAGCCTCAGCAAAACAAAGGTATATTCCTCGACATGTCTCACTTCCCTCCCACAAAGCCCTTTCTTTACCAATAGCACAGAGCTATTAAAGGTCCACAGAAAATTCCAACTCTCACCACTCACCAATAGACTACTTTATGTTGCAGAGTATTTAAAGAATTAAATGTCTTCCTTTTTTACCTTTATCCCTTGTAAGTTTCTGGCTTCTTGTTTACATTTCAGCAGCTCCTTCTGCAAACCAAATATAGTTAGATCAGATGGTGACATCTGGGTTGCTTCATAATGCATTACCTCATACTGTCGGCAAGAGGACAAAACTCAGTTGATCATTCCATGAAAAATTAACCCTCTACTAAGGCAGAACAGTTCTGGTCCAGTGAGCAGTACAATGGCTGATCCACAGAAACAAGAAGAGAATCATTCCGTTCTTCTCTGTTGGCACCCAGGCTTAACTGCTCAGGTAGAGAAGAGTTGCCAAGAAAGATGATGCCCCATAATTCCCATAGGCTCTCATTTCTATATTTAGCAATCTTCACCAACAGGAAAACCTAATTATAATAATCTAAATCCTTCTCACTGAATATATGATTAAATATGCCTACCCCCAATGTGATTAAATAATTATCTCTATTCTTAATGTTCAGCAAAGGGTTGGAGTGTTTCTGGTTCTTCAAAAGTGGGGCAAACAAAAACACATTTAGCCTAACAATGAAATACTGAGTAATTAACATTCACTTGCAATAGATAAAATATATGTAAACGATTGTCACTAGGTAATCGATTTTAGAAGGGGAACAACCATAATCCAGACCCCAATCTCATCTCCTCCTATTGTATCACATCAAGAGTTTGCAATTAACATATCTAAAATGTGGATTTGTAACTTGAACTCCACAGATGGGCTCAAAAGTTGCTCTATTAGGCTGGGCACAGTGGTTCATGCCTATAATTCCAGCATTTTGGGAGGCCAAGATGCGAGAATCACTTGAGTCCAGGAGTTCAAGACCAGCCTAGGCAACAAGGTGACAGCAATCTATACAAAAAATACAAAAATTAGCTAGGCATAGTGGTGTGTTCCTGAAGCCCCAGCTACTTGGAAGGCTGAGGTGGGAAGATCACTTGAGGTTGTGAGGTCGAAGCTGCAGCTAGTCATGATCATGCCATTGTGTACTCAGTCTGGTTGACAGAGTGAGACTCTGTCTCAAAAAACAAACAAACAAAACAAAACAAATAAATAAAAGTTGCTCTATTAAAAATTCATGTTGGCCAGGCGTGATGGCTCATGCCTGTAATCCCAGCACTTTGGCAGGCCAAGGAGGTCAGGAGTTCGAGACAAGCCTGGCCAACAAAGTGAAACCCCATCTCTACTAAAAATACAAAAATTAGCCAAGTGTGGTGGCGGGCACCTGTTGTCCCAGCTACTTGGGAGGCTGAGACAGGAGAATCGCTTGAACCCGGGAGGCGGAGGTTGCAGTGAGCTGAGACTGTGCCATTGCACTCCAGCCTGGGTGACAGAGTGAGACTCTGTCTCAAAAAAACAAATTCATGTCTATGAGTATGAGTATATATATACATGCATGCTTGTAGGGAGAGGGTTAATGGCCTTAGTCATATACTTATGACCCAAAGAAAAGCTAGGAATCACTGACCTAAAAGAATTCTGATAAGTATTCATAAAAAAAGACTGTACTGGTATTACATTTTTTCTTTAATTAAAGAAAAAAACATGAAATATTGCAAACATATAGAATGGTACAACCAATAATGAAACAGAAATTCTATTAACTACCACCAGGATTCAAAAGTTATTACCTTCCTGACATATTTGGGATGTATCCTTCTCTTTCAAGTAAAAACATAATACCAATACAGGAAAGATTCCAATTCTGAAATCTCTTTCCCTCTTGAAGCTGTTTAACATTCCCATAATATTTTTAAAGGGTAAAATGTACATGTCTTGACATACCTTTAAGTCCTGATTCTCCTCCATACTCTGATCCAGACGACTTTGGATTATAATCTGAAATACGGCAAAAAGAGATGGCTAAGCACCTATGCTGTGAAGTTCAGAGGCCACTCATTTAACAAATATTTATTGAGCACTACTAGATGCCAGCTCTGTACTGTGGATACGAAGAACAGGAAACAGTTTCTGCTCTCTGATGGAAACATATGCATCAAATTGCAAGTAGACCTATATGGATAAAGCTTAGAATAAGTATGGGTGGGCTGGGCATGGTTCCTCAAACCTGTAATCGCAGCACTTTGGGAGGCCAAGGCAGTCACTTGAGGTCAGGTGTTTCAGACCAGCTTGGCCAACATGGTGAAACCCCATCTCTACTAAAAATACAAAAATTAGCCAGACATGGTGGTGCACACCTGTAATCCCAGCTACTCAGGAGGCTGAGGCAGGAGAATCACTTGAACCTGGGAGACAGAGGTTGCAGTGAGCCAAGACTGTGCCACTGGGCGACAGGGCAAGACTCTGTCAAAAAAAAAAAAAAAAAAGAATAAGTATTAGGGGATTGGGTGCAGGGGTGTGGAAAAGGGAAGAAGAAACGGCAAGAGATGAAGTTGGCAAGAAATATTAGGGCCAGATCATGAAAGGCCAGTGAGGGCAATGGGGAATCAATGAAAAGTTTTATGCAGAAGGGTAACAAAATGAACTTTGTCTTTAAGGCAAATTACTCTTGCTGTTTTACAAAAAATGAATTAGAAGAAGACAGGAGAGGAATCAGGAAAACCAGTTATAAGGCTGCTAGAATACTGGATAGAGGCTTTTTGTTTGTTTGTTTGTCTGAGACAGTCTCACACTGTCACCCATGCTGGAGTGCAGTGGTGCGATCTCGGCTCACTGAAACCTCCGCCTCCCAGGTTGAAGCAATTATCCTGCCTCAGCCTCCCAAGTAGGTGGGACTACATGTGTCAGCCACCATGCCCAGCTAATTTTTGTATTTTTAGTAGAGATGGGATTTTACCATGTTGGCCAGGCTGATCTTGAACTCCTGACCCCAGGGGATCCACTCATAGAATACTGGATGGAGGCTTGATTTTTAAATGGCTGTGAGAATGGAGAAAACTGGATGAAGAAATCAGAAATGTAAACTGATAAAACTTGGTGACTGATTAGATATAGAGGGAAGGGTAAGAAAGGATTCAAGGATAATATCCAGATTTCTGTTTGGCACATTTTGGTATCCAAAATAGATATGCAAAAGGACAAGTAGCTTTGGTGGTTGGGCAGAGGATGGAAAAACTTTAATTTAGGACTCACTGAAATTGAGATGCTTATGGGACTTACAAGTGGAGATAATAAGTAGGCAGTTGCATATTGCATACATAAATCTAGAAATCCACAGTGAGAGCTGAGCTGGAAATAAATACATGAGAAGCAAGTGGGAAGTGAGTGAAGAAATGGAGGCAGATACTACTGCCCAGGTGAATGTTTAAGACACATGAGGACCTAGGCTGGAATGCTGAGGAACACCAACATTAAAGGCACAGGCAGAAAAAGAGAAGCTTCAAAGAGAACTTGAATGTAAATTCCATAAGGGTAGGATCTTAGGTGTGTTTTGTTACTACCATATCTCCAGCATGTTGAAATAGTGCCTGGCATATAGTCAGCACTCAATAAATATTTGTTTATTAAATGAATGAAGAAGGAAACAATGGTCAAAAACATAGGATGAAAACCAGGAGAACTGAACAAGGAAGATAGCATTTCAAGAAGGCATGAACAGCAGTGTCAAGTGCTAAATATAAGTCAAATACATACAAATTTAGTGTCCAGTCACAAAAGATGGAGCTCACCAGTTGTTCCTCAGGATTGACACCTGGTTCACAGAGGGCCAAGGGCCTCTCCTGTTCATCTTCAGGTAAGGATCCGTTGAGGAGTAAGGCCTGTATAACCACAAAGGCAGAAAGAAACCTAACTCTCCATCAGATAACTTAGTCCTGAGCTGAGCTTCGTAAGCTCACCCCAAATTCAAATCACAACTCAGCTTCCTCAAGAAATTCTGTGGGTAATGTTTGCTCCTTGGATACTTCCCATTGCTCACCCTGGGACTAGTTCCTTTCGTCAAGCGCATGCTCTGGCTCTTTCAACTCTCTGGACACCCTACTGCTCCTTTTCAACGTACCTTGGCCCCAGAAGAAAATCTAAAAACAAATCTTTCTTTCAAAAGAGATACAACACATTTCAAACTGGAGCTGCTCAAATTCAATTTTACCAGAAAGAAAAAACGATCTAAAAGCAGTGTAGACTCATCACAGCTTAGAAATGAGTATTATATTGAATTATTTGGAATATATTTGGAGCATTCCGGTTTGATTTTTGTTTAATAATTCTGCATTTTTATTCCCTAAATCAACTTGTATAGAACAAGAAGGAAAACATTTGCAGAGTGATGTCCCCATTCATTTTAGCTCCTGATACCAGGCTGTTTTCATTAGAATATATAAGTAGGTGGAATGGGGAGGCAGATTTACCATGAAGCTAAGAAATCTACAGCTTTATGCCCCCCGCATGTATTGCCTCTCCCATGGTCCTCTACCTAATTGTTTTTTTGTTTTTTTTTTTATTAAGACAGGGTTTCACCATGTTGGTCAGGCTGGTCTTGAACCCCCGACCTCACGTGATCCGCCCACCTTGACCTCCAAAGTGCTTGAATTACAGGCGTGAGCCACCATGCCCGGCCCCTAATTGTTATTATTATTATTGGAGACAGAGTCTCACTTTGTCACCCAGGCTGGAGTGCAGTGATATGATTTTGGCTCACTGTAATCCAGGGTTCAAGCAATTCTCATGTCTCAGTCTCCCAAGTAGCTGGGATTAGAGGCATGTGCCATTGTATCTGGCTAATTTTTGTATTTTTAGTAGAGACAGGGTTTTGCCATATTGCCCAGGCTGGTCTCAAACTCGTGATCTCAAGCAATCCGCCAGCCTTGGCCTCCCAAAGGGCTGGGATTACAGGTGTGAGCCACCATGTCTGGCCTATACCTAATTATTATAGTCATAACTTTATAATCTTATTCTTTAAGAAGTCCCCCTGCATAGACACAAATTATATACTTCAGGACTCACAAAACTTGGATCTGTCCCTGCAGGTATCCATCAGATCAGTGAAAAACTGAAAAATGTGACCCCATTTTATATCTGAATCAATTCTGTCTTGATTCAAAAGAGAGGAGTTACAGAAGCTGTTTCTTATTTCAGTAAATATAACACAAATTCAGCTGGGCAAGGTGGCTCACACCTATAATCCTAGAACTTTGGGAGGCCGAGGCAGGAAGATCCCTTAAGCCTAGGAGTTTGAGACCAGCCTGGGCAACATAGTGGGACTCTGTCTTTATAAAAAAAAATTTAAATTAGTTGGGCATGATAGCACATGCATGTGGTCCCAGCTACTCAAGAGGCTGAGGTGGGAGGATCACTTGAGTCTAGGAGACCAAGGCTGCATTGAGCCATGATCATGCCACCGCACTCCAGCCTGGGTAACACAGCGAGACTCCCATCTCAATCAATCAATCAATCAATAAAATAAAATCCAGACAGCAGTTGATCTACCAAAAGCTAATAATAAAATTTGAGTAAGTCAAATGAATTTGGCTATCTCACAGAGTCATGGCAACAGGTACAGACATATATAAGAAGATACAGGACCCCAGGGAGGTCAGGGCATTTCAACATTATGGAAATATCAAGTATAACTGCAAGCTGTTCAAAGGGTTCTAACTAAGGAATACTAATAGGTCAGAAACCTTGGATGTGGCTTAGCATGCAACTTGTTAATCAGTGAAAGAGTTAAGAAGCCCAGTGGATGCTGTGAGCCCTTTTGTATTCTACAATGGAACTGAATTCTCATTGTGATCATGTGGCTGTGAATTAAAACTCTTCTGTTTGCAGGGAATATTAAGATGCTGACTTTCTGCCTGTCAGTTCTCTTCTTTTTCTGTCTAATCTGCCATCGAATTTCTCCCGGACTAAGAAATGCAAACAAACTGAGAGCCAAACTGATGAATATCTATGTTCATATAATGCGAATTTTCCTGGGAACAACCCGGTTGGGTATAATCCCTAAATTCTTCATGGCATACTTCCTATGCAAACAGAACACACACAAAAACATTCCATGAAGGTATTCGTTAATGGAGTGGCAGAAAAGAGATCTAAAAGGCCTCATAAGCCAGCCATTTTAAAAATACAGAGCAAATGAAGGAAAACCAACAACTTTCTTTAGGAAACATTCCTCCCACACTTCTCCGTTCCTGGGGCATACATTATGCAAACTGCTTTGCCGAAGCACCAATCTCCTTTTTTCTTTAGGAACCCTTTGAGTCCCTACCCTGTTGCAGGCTGGCTGGGAGCACGCCCTCCACCGCCTGCCGGCTGCCAAAGCCACACACATAATGTGGGCTTTGTTTACGTGTCCATAAATATTTGACAATTCTGAAGCACTGCAGTTCCCAGCACAAACAGAAAGGAATATTCCTAGGCAATTTCAGGGTCATCAGCACACTACAAGGGCTCCCCTAAACAGTCAAAGACACACAAAGACAGGAATCCAGGGGGTCACTGAGGGTGGGTCAGTCAGTCTCTGCGGTAGATTTGCCGAGCTGGCACTACAGGTATAGGAAAAACTGAAGGGCGATGTTGCTTAACGAAAAACCTCTTCTACCTGACCGTTACGCCTTGACATCCATTTGCACATGTATTAGGAGTGTGCTAAATCCCTTAGCTAAACTCAAATAGAAACCTGTCAGCATTATTGACTCTTACACTCTTCCTGCTAGAGAATTTCTAGGAAAAAATCCCTGACTATTCAGTGCCATTCTTTGGTTAAAGCTGCAATTGCAGGTCTATAGCCACATATGGGGTACAAGCCCACCTGTGTAGCAGAGAGTCAAGAATAAGGGCTTGCTAGGGGTCAGTAATGGCTCCTGGGCTTGCCGAAATCCTAAGTGCTGTGCTATGAACAGTAGCCCACAAAGTTCATTTAAAGTACTCAAATATAAAGAATTTTCTACTCTTTCTATACTACTCCCTATATCTAATCTCCTCATTCAGTTCTGACCTCCTGCAAAACTAAAATCAGTTTATTTTCAATGGATGCTAGTGACTTAATAATCAATTGGTATAACAAGGGAAAACTACAAGGGAAAGAGCTACCTGTAGTCCTGATATCATCTTCTTTGCTTCCTCCATTTCTTTTTCCAAATATTCTTGTTGTTCCAACAGCTGTTCTTCCCATGAGGTCTCCAGATAGGTTCCAGGGCTCCCTGGCCGCCAGTCACGAGATAATGGAGAATCTGTCTCCTCTACAAAGTGAAAAGAGGGAGTACAGTTCATATTGAAGAAAACTGATTTTCGGCAGAAAGCGTTCACAGGATAGCATTCACAGGTTCAGGTCACCTGCATTCTGAACCTGTTTTCATAGCACAGACTGGACTCTCCACCAGGTGGGGTTGTGAAGCATAAATTGGCTGTGAACTCAGGCCCCAGGCTCACTTGGTGCTAGAACAATCTATCCTCTTTTAAAACAGGAAGTAGTAAGATTCGCTTTTACCACTGGTACGGTATGGGCCACACAGATTTTACCCTTAATTCTTAGAACTGGCATTCCCAGAGCCTGATTTTGCCAGGTACAAAGAGAGAAGCTGTCAGATGCAGTGAAAACAAAATTTTACTGGTTACTCTGAAGTTTTACAGGGGAGACCTCAACTCAATGTTCCTTTGACAACTCAGTTATAACTGGACCGCTTTCATATAGAATACTGTGTGAGTCACACAGGAAACAAACAAATAAAAACGCAGCTGCACACACTGTTTAATATCACTTTTATTTTCCTAGCTTTAAGGTCTCTGTGCTCTGGTTTCCTTGTCTATTTTGTACTATCTAATTGTATGTACAGCCATTTAAAATGCATTCTTGAATTCAGGAAGGCATAAACTCTTTCAGTGAGTTTCTTCATTCATGAGACAAGTATAATAACCTCTCTGGTTTGCTGTGAAGATTAAATAAGTCAACTTATGTGCAGGCATGTGCTGGTGCCTGGCCCAGAGAGGCACTCACTAAATGCTCTCCCTCTCTCTCTCCAAAGCCCCTGGAGTTTTGAATCAACAACATGACTGACTCTTTGGTACTAATGCCAGGGTTAGACGGGGAGCAGAATGTGGAAGAATTCAATTCCAGTTTTTCTTCTGAGGGCCTCTATTTCAGTACAACTCTTGTGGGTAAAGAAAATTCTAAGTTTTGCACCTTGCTTCTTACATGTTTCTCTCTCTATGTAAGAAAAAAAGAGCAACTGAAACAGTATGAAAGTCTAAACAAAGGGAGCTCTTTATGGTCCTTTCTGTAGCTTCATACCAAGCCTAATACAGTCCTGCTCTCTACTCTCTATGTCCTCACAGACACCTCAGCTCATACAATGTATTTCTGGTACCAATTTAAGTTATGTAAGTACTGCAATTATTTGTATAAGATAGGAAAAATAAGTGTGTACTTGAGTAAGGCTTTTGACTGCCCCAAAGTCATTTCCTAATTCATAGGCAGCCAGCTAAGAAAGGGCCTGTCTATGCTGCCGCAAGATTTTTGACAGCTAGGACATCAGAAATGACATTCTGCAAGAGGATAACCACATTAATTGGCTCAAAGTCATTAGAGCCCTCTAGCACTGACCCTGCATGCACAGACCATGGAGATGGGGAAGGCCAGGGGGTTTATAGGTGGTTGGGACCTCTAAATTCTTCAAGCTGGCGATTCCTTGAACCAACCCAGGCAGGCAGAGAGACAGTACCTGTTCTGTTCTCTATTCCTTCAGAGGGAATAATCACAAAATCTGCCTTCTCTTCTGACTGGGTTATAATGGACTCGCTCTTTGCACTGTGGATTGGACTGGGTGAAGTCAGGCTGTCATTGAAGAAAAAGGAGGAAAAACTATTATTATGAAGAATTGTTCAGAAAGCAGCTTTCATAATTTATTTCTGAGACCAGGGACATGTTCTTATTCATCTTACTCCTCCATGGCTAACACAATACTTGGCCCACAGAAAATAAAATATTTATTTAATGATTAACTTTTTGAATGAATGAAATTAATACTGAATAAAGGAATGACCCAGTCCTATAAGGTCTTTCCACAACAAGGATGCCTTTAAGCCTAATTCCTTGAGAAGAGATTTACCAAAATGATGGGTAATCTAGCATTCAATGAACTTGAGGTTTTGTTTTGTTTTACCTCCTACCACCTCTGTCATCACCATCCCTGAGCCCACGTTCAAAGATTGATGCCAGTCTGTGTCTAGTAGCTTTTGGAGCTAGAAGGAAATTTTATTTCCAATACACCGATCTCTCACAGATACAGGCAATACCAGCCAAGTTATCATGACAGATCAGCTCTGAGCTAATCACAAAGGAGAGTACAGGGTGGGGGTGGTTCAAGGGGAAAAGTTACTGGAGGCGGTACATTGGCAGGCTGGGCAGAGGAGCAGTTACAGATCAATAATTGAGCTAGAGCATGACAAGGGGAAGGCAATAGGTCAAAAGGGGAAAGACTGGTAGGGATATTAGAGTAAGGGTTTACTTGATTTATTCCTATCAAAGAGTTATTTATATTTCTGACACAATACTTTGAAATTGTCCTCAGAATCTTCTCAACAATTCTTAAGGTTTTGTTTTGTTTTATTTTTTTGAGACAGGGTCTCACTCTGTTTCTCAGGTTGGAGTGCAGTGGCTCCATCACAGCTCACTGCAGCCTCAAGCTCACGGGCTTGAGCAAATCTCCTGCCTCAGCCTCCCGAGCAGCTAGGACTACAGCTGCATATGATGCCCAGGTAATTTTTTGATTATTTTGTAGAGACAGGATCTCCCCATGTTGCCCAGGCTGGTCTCAAACTCCTGGGCTCAAGCAATCCTCTCTCCTCGGCCTCTCAAAGTACTGGTATTATAGGCATGGGCCACCATACCTGCCCCTTAAGTTCGGATATAACTACTAGCCTTGGAGGGAACGATGCTGATTTTCAGGGAAGTGGAATTTTAAATCTCTAAAACAACAGCAAATCTACAAGACAAGATGGGAATGTGAGGCTGGTGCTCCCATCTGACAGGGAAAAGGAGTAATGAGCCATTTCTCTTTGCACTGCACCTTGAGAACATCAGCACTGAAACAATCTCAGGGGCTGAGGGGTCTCCAGGCCCAGCCCCCTCTCAGGAATTCTTTCCAAATCCATCACCCAGACAACAGTGAAAGTGGCTAGGATTCACTGACCCACTTAATGTGCCCCTGAAGTCTCCCAAGCGAATCCTCACAACCACGATCAGGAGTTAACATTTCGTCTTCCTAGAATCCAGTAAAAAACAAGAGCCAGGCACGGTGGAGGTAGCCAGGCACTTCAAAAGCAGTGAGGCAGCCTGAGGACTAGTGTCTCATCCTCCTGATTGCCAGTATTTTAAGGGCTTTGGTGGGAATGACCTCAACTGGAAATACATTCTCTTCCTCTTACAACCACAGAAAACATTGTAAAGCTTTTAAATTGAAATCGCAAATTAAACAAAGTTGCTTAGCCATATCTATAGATTTATAACCCAAACAGGCAGGAGGGGTGGGGAGAGGCAAGAAGTGATATTCTGAAATAGCAACTACTTTCTAGAACTTTCTCATTCATCTTTCACCACCTAGGCAATCTTGACTTCCAGGGCAACATGAATTAGCTGCTTGAAAAGCTCTCATCCAAGGGTACTACGTCATTCACCAGGAGAATAGACTTGTGACTGCTCAGGCTTCAGCATTTACCTTCTTACAGAAATGGGAATCCAAGCGTAGAAAGCGGCCTGCAAGAGCTGCTCATCTCTGAGAAACAAGAAAACAACACTTTCTCATCTGACAAGGTGCTATGGATGACATGTTCCACTGTCTGCCTTTGCTGGACCACAGTTGGTATATGTGAGATGGAGTCGGGGAGGAGGGTGCAGTGTGAACCCAGGGTGCTAGAAAACTGCTTTCCTAAAAGCACAGACGCATGCTCAGCTCCTTCTCCCTCCTAAGAGAGTTGTCTCCCATATAAGGGCAGAAGGAGGCGGATGTCTGGATATCCAGCCCCGCTGGGGGAGTGGCAGAGTAGTCAATGGAAAACAACATTTCTCTTTCTTGAATTGAGGCTGCCAATGTGAGGCCACAGAGAGGTAAGACCAAGAAACTCGATGGCCAAGTGGAGATATAAAGGACCTCAGGCAGGAAACTCCCGAGGCACATGTTAGAGCAGGCACCCTGCTGCCTCCCTAAGAAGTATCTCATGGAGGAGGAAGATGCGTTAAATCCTCTGTCCCAGGTCAGAGAAAAATATTTTAATGCTAATTAATTATGTATATGACAGGCTCCTCCCTGATTAGCTTAAAAGTCCTATTTTATAAACAAGTAATCCTCTACTTATCATCATAATCCTCTCTGAGGTCAGAGAACGACTGATCAGGTCTGGGCTGATACATTTCTTAATTCCCACAGGTCTAATAGGTCTTCTATCTTAATTTATCAGACAAGCAATCCCGCAGCAAAGATACTGCCAAATCCCAGTCAAATTAATTTTTTTAAATGCATAATAGGCAATAAGGAAGAGTCCTGTATCCTCAGGAAGTGCCCTCCCCCAACAGAGACCCTGGCAGGGCCAAGGGCTACTCCTCCTTCCCCCATGCTGGCTCCACTTCCTAAGCCCACCGTATTTTATAGTGATAACCCCTGGTCAGCAGCCTGTCTCCCAACATAGTGCTCCCCCCACCCCCTCACCACCTGTCTCCGGCCAAAAGCATCCTTCAGCCCTGCCCCTGCTCCCACCCAGGCCCCCCGCTTTCAAAGCCAGAGTGGCTTCAGCTCACCATTTGACTTGTGTCCCTCCCATGGTCCCCCTCCTGTCTTGGGTTTCAGCAAGCCTGTGTCCCCGGGTGAAGTGGGAGGCTGAGAGTCACATCACTCCCAAATTCAGGCATGTCTCCCCGCGCTGGGGCTGGAAAACGCCTCCACGGGAAGGCCAGCTAGCGGAGCTACTCGCCCGGCTCGCGGGAGAAAGTGGGAACGGCAGCGGCGGCGTCTCGGCCCCAGCGACGAGGATGCTCCCGGCTCTGAAGCGCGCCGTCCCGGGCGCTCAGACTCTGCTGCGGCCCGGCCCCGGCGGAAGCTGCCACCCCTCGCAGGCTGCCGGCCCCTGGCCGCTGCATCTTGGCCTCCGCGGACGCACGGTGCCCGGCATCCCCCCAGGCGGAGGCATCTCACCCCATTTGCCACTGGGAGGGAGGCTCCCGGCGGCGCAGGCTGCGCCTCAAGTCCCCAGCGGCGATCCCGCTCCGCGACACCTTCCGGATCCCTCCCCGCCCCTCCCTCTGCTGCCTCCCGGGGCTGTCACCAGCCGCGAGGCGGCCGGGCTCCGATCCAAGCCAGCTCCGCTGGGCCGGCCAACCGACCGCTCTGGGCGGAGGTAAGGGGTGCGGGCCGGGGGCGGGGCTGGGCGGGGTGTGGGCGTGGGGGCGTCGACGAGGGGTTGGGCGATGCTGAGAGGAGAGACTGGGAGCCCCAGGATAGGGAGGGGAAGGGCTGCGGAAAGGCAGAATTCCGAGGAGGGTTCTGGTGGTCTGGGTACTGGGGAGCCCGGCACCGAAAACGCTGCCTTCTCCACTCTGAGCCTTCCCTTCGTGGAGGCGAGGTCGGACAGGTCAGGCCCGCAAGGGGCTCTGGCAGCTCCTCAGGATGGAGACTCCGGTGCTCCCCAGGAAACCTGCCTAGCACCTATCCCCTCCCACCTTCCCTTCTGGCGTTTCGTGTGTTCTTTTTAACCAACTCAGGATCATTCCGCTTGGCTACAGTGAGAGGCTGGTATGTGGTTTTCAGAGCAACAGGCTGGCAGGGCTTCCCCAGGGCGTCTCCCGAGGAGCAGTGGCAGGGGATGAGACACCCAGGGACTGTCCTTTCTGAGCCACTCCCATCCTGAACAGGCCACATCTGGGGACTCCTGGGCTCTTCACGGGTCAAAGAGCCACGAAGTGGGCTCGCGGGGTGGGGGCAAGGGCTCAGAATGTGCAGGAATCTGCTGGGTTCCGGATAGTCACAGGAAGACCCTTCCTTCCCTGGGGGCCCACTGAGCAAAAGGCAGCTACTAAACGAGCATGCCAAAGAGCTGAACGAGGGGTCAGCATTAGAAGAAAATGGCAAAATCGACTAGTAAGAAACAAGGTAAAGCAAACAATTCTTCTCTGACCCCTCTCCTAGAAAACTGTCACTATTAGCTCACTGCAGCCTGATAGCCAGTGGGTCCCTCACTCAGTCTCATAGCCCTCCCCTCAGTCCTCCTGCCCTGGAGGAGAAAGCAGGTGCTCTCAGGAAGAAATCCACTCTTCCTCCTATCCCCCAACTCTAGCAGACACTATCAGGCTTAGAAGAATGAAAGGCCTGCAGAGGTGCAGAAAGCAATAGATCTCATTACACAACAAAACATCCTGTAATTCTGCTCCAAGTGATAACCTAAGCAGCAAGCAAGGAAGAAATGATTTAGATTCTCATTAAAAGCACACCTGCTGCTTAATGGGCACAGGGCTTCCTTTTGGGGGTGATGAAGATGTCTTCTGTGTGGACAGAGGTGATGGTCGCACCACATTATGAAGATACTAAATGCCACTGAATTGTACACTTTATAATGTTAATGGTTAATTTTATGTTATGTGAATTTTATAAATGAAAAAGCACACCTATTAAATGTAACAGGTAAAAAGTTAGTAAAGTTATCAGTATATTAAAATACTAGAAAGAGTGCCATATGACCTCAATAAATTAGGAAATGGTGCATCAAAATAGGATGGAATTTTATGAGGAAGAAAAGAAAAACACAAAATACATACAACGTAAGGAATAATTAGCCCTAAACAGATCAGATTACACCGGGTTGGGACAGGAAATAAAAGGTCATTAGAGCATAAATTATGATTCAGCAACAAAATGAAATTAGTAAAACATGATCTGGGGAGTGTTTATAGGAGCATGATTTACATGAGCCAGGAAAGTAATCTTTTTCTGCCACCGATAAAGTTTTCATTAGTGCACTGTATCCTGTTTTGGTCTCTGTACTTGGCTCTAAGGGATACAGACAGCTTTCGGCTAGAGTTGCAAACATCATAGCTCACTCAAATGCATACTAATTAGCCACACTTCCTGTGGAGTCGGAAACACTGTAATGCTCTAAGAGACCTCTGCTCAATTTCTTCTTTTCTATGAGCTTTAAATGGGCTTTTCAGGCCATAACTTAAGAGTTACACTTAGGCTCAAGGACAGCACAATGGAATCGGCTATCATAAACGCTGGTACCAGATATGCAAATGTCAGAACCACTGGACTGGGCCCTGACAGGTTCCACTCATCCCCGATGTGGTCACAGCTAAGCACTGGCACTGGAACTGCACAGATTCCATTTGTGGAAAATAAACCACCACCCCACCCTACCTTCCTCCTCTCCTACCAGCACAAACCCACAAAGCACTGCCAAGGGGTATCCCTTTAAAGCCAAACATAAACTGGGGAGAGAAAAAGGGCTTAGGTGACTTTTTGCTTGTTGTATTGTTACTTGAAGTCGAGAACTCCAAGAATTCCCAAGAATTCAGCTTTCAGAGGCCACAGTTACCTGGAGCAGCTGGATTCAGATGGAGACCTTTGTTGCCCTTCATACTGCTGCACCAGGGCCCGCACGCTCCAGTATGGATTCTCAATTTCCTCATCCATGCTGCTGTTCCTAAAGTCAGAGGACACCAGCAAAGGGAGCATGTCAGCCCTTCAGATCAGATCAACTCAGCAAGTACAGATAAACTGCCACTCTGAGAGCAGTATACATAAGATGACTAAGACAAAACCCTGCCTCAAAGACACTTGGTACCTAGCTGGAAAGGCAGACACAAAAACAAGTAATTCACCAATCTCTGCAATACTTCAGGGTCCTGCTCTCTCTTAGCAGATACAAAACCCACAAAGTATTTTTTTCTGCCATGACTCCCTAGGACAGTCTGACCTTTGAGTACATTCCAGGGCAAAGCTTCCCCTAGATGAACTGGAACATTCTTCCCACGTACCTCCCAGTGAAGAAAACACACTCTGCCAAAGGCACATATTTAAATTTTGGGCACCAGAGCAAAAACTTACACATAAGATTCCTTTACTTTCTGCTAAATGCAAAATTAAAAATAAACATCTCAAAGAAAAGGCTTTTCTCTTTTGAGAGTGGCCTCCCTACCTCCACTCCATGTTCTTTTCTGCAATGTGTGGCTGGGTGACATTTCTTTTTTTTCCTTTTTTTTTAAATGTAATTTATATTAGGACACAGATGCTAGAGCATTTTTTTTCTTTTTTTCTTTTTATTTATTTTTTATAGGTGACATTTCTATCTACCGCACTGTATCATCTAACAGAAGAAATATCAGAAAGAGGGATCAGTTCCCATCCCCGTATGTCTACCCTTACCTCTGTCTGTATCGAAAGACATCCCGTCCTGATCGGGACATGTCATGACACACATCGGCCAGAGCAGCAGCTGCTCCCTGGGCAACAGCAGTGGCACAGTGTGGTTGGTGACTTTGCAGAGGGGCTCTGGAGTCCCGTCCTTGGTTCACCGTCCTACTAGAGCCAGGTTTGAAATGAGCTGCCAAGGCAAGGACCAGCCTCATGATAGACTTCAGGTTTCCGTCCACAATATCTGAAGGACAAAACAGACCAAGAGATCCTAAGAGGGGGGCAAAAGCTAAGGACTTATGCATTTAATACACATTGCTAGTGATACAGGTAAGCAAGGCAGTCAGGGTCTCAGTCCTAACAAAGCTCTGTGCAACCAGGGAGACAGAATATGTAAGAACAATGACAATAAAGTAAGATCACATGTTTTGATAAGTACAGGATTCTTTGGGAGGTCAGAGTAGAGACACCTTATCTAGATGGCTCAGAGAAGGATTCCTAGAGGAAGTGGGTTCTAAACTGAGACTTGATTAATGAAGAGTGGTACATTAGATAAGAGAAAGACAAAGAGTATTCCAGGAAGAGGGAATAGCAGGTGTGAACGTCTTGAAGTGGGAGACAGCATGATATATTAGAGCTGTGCTATCCAATGTGGGAATCATCAGCCACCTGTAGCTATCAAGCACTTAAAAAGTCCTTAGTCTGAAATGAAATGTGCTCTAAGTGTAGTACTTACTTAGCATATACACGTGCCCCCCAAATGCAATACATCTCGTTAACTTTTTATATTGATTTCATGGTGAAATGGAGATAGAGTTAAATAAAATATTATTAAAATTAATCTCATCTCTTTTTTTATGATGTGGCTATTAGAAACTCTTTTTATTTTTATTTATTCATTTTATTTTTTGAGATGGAGTCTCACTCTGTCACCAGACTAGAGTGCAGTGGTGCAATCTCAGCTCACTGCAACCTCCACCTCTCGGGTTCAAGCGATTCTCCTGCCTCAGCCTCCCACATAGCTGGGACTACAGGCACATGCCACCATGCCCACCTAATTTTTGTATGTTTAGTGGAGATGGGGTTTCACCATGTTGGCCAGGATGGTCTTGATCTCTTGACCTCGTGATCTGCCCACCTCGGCCTCCCAAAGTGCTAGGATTACAGGAGTGAGCCACTGCGCCTGGCAACTCTTTTTATTTTTTGAGACAGAGTCTCACTCTGCTGCGCAGGCTGGGGTGCAATGGCACAATCTTGGCTCACTGCAATCTCTACCTCCTGGGTTCAAGCAATTCTCCTGCCTCAGCCTCCCAAGTAGCTGGGATTAAAAGCACCCATCACCACACCCAGCTAATGTTTGTATTTTTAGCAGAGACAGGGTGTCACCATGTTGGCCAGGCTGGTCTTGAACTCCTGACCTCAAGTGATCCACCCACCTCAGCCTCCCAAAGTGCCGGGATTACAGGACATTGAGCCATTGCGCCTGGCATGCTATTAGAAACTCTTAAGTTACCTATGTGACTTTTATTATATTTCTGTGGCACAGCACTGTGGTGGAGGAAGTGAAAGAAGTTCAGCATACCCAGAGCCCAGAATGCAGGAGGAGAGAGGGAAAGGTGAGGCAGCAGGGGGGTGAATCAGGGGGTGGGTCACGCATGGCATGGTAGGCCACAGGAAGGACTCTGGATTTTATCCTAAGGGTCCTCAGATATGGAGGAGTGGCATGAGTATATGTACTCTTAGAAAGATCATTCTGACTGCAGCGTACAAAGCAGATGAGAGGGGGACAAAAATCAGTGCCACAGGACTAACTCCCACAGACTGTTAACACTTCTCCAGGTAAACGATAATGATGTCCTAAATGGCAGTGTTCCCTCAAAATAGCTGACTTTAATGGGCCAGATCCCCAAGCCCACTCCACATGGGAACCAGATCAGAGGTATTGTGAAACTCTAAATTTTGCCCTAGAAATAAAAGAGGAATGTAGGCGGAAAGCAGTATGATAAGTCTGGTGAAAGTCAATGTAAGGAAATGGGTAACATTTTGTTTTCTTTTTTTTTTTTTTTTTTTTTAGCTTTGTAGCCTTTAAATACGTAAAACTTGGAAAAAGATGATTTTTGTTTGTTTTTTCTTTCTCACCTTTTGTTTTAGAAGGAGGTGGTACACATGCAGGTTTGTTACAGAGGTATATTGTGTGATGCTGAGGTCTGGGGTATGATTGAACCCATCAGGCAGATAGTGAGCACAGTACCCAGCAGGTAGTTTGCAGCCCTTCCCCCCTCCTTCTCTCCCTACTCTAGTAGTCCCCAGTTTCTACTGTTCTATTCTTTATGTCCCAATGTGCACCCAATGTTTAGTTCCCAATTATAAGTAAGAACACATAGTATTTGGTTTTCTGGTTCTGCATTAGTTTGCTTAGGATAATGGGCTCCAGCTGCATCCATGCTGCAGCAAAGGACATGGGACATGATTTTATTTTTTTATGGCTGCATAGTATCCAATGGTATATATATACCATTTTTTTTTATCCACTCCTCTGTTGATGGGCACTTGAGTTGATTCCACGGTTTTGCTATTGTGAATGGTGCTGTGATGAACATACAGGTGCATGTGTCCTTTTGGTAGAATGATTTATTTTCATTTAGGTATATACCCAGTAAGGGGATTGCTATAGTTCTCCGAGAAATCTCCAAACTGCTTTCCACAGTGGCTGGACAAAGTTCCAGTCCCACCAACAATATATGTGACCCCTTTTCTCCACAACCTTGCCAACATCTGTTATTTTTGTTTTTGTTTTTTGAGACAGAGTCCCACACTGTTGCCCAGGCTGTAGTGCAGTGATGCAATTTTGGCTCACTGCAATCTCCACCTCCTGGGTTCAAGCAATTCTGCCTCAGTCTCCCAAGTAGCTGGGACTACAGGCATGTGCTGCCACACCCAGCTAATTTTTTTTGTATTTTTACTAGAGACGGAGTTTCACCGTGTTGGCCTGGATGGTCTTGATCTCCTGACCTTGTGATCCACCAACTTTGGCCTCCCAAAGTGCTGGGATTACAGGCATGAGCCACCACGCCCAGCCCAACATCTGTTTTTTTTTTACTTTTTAACAAAAGCCATCCTGACTGGATGAGATAGTATCTCATTGTGGTTTTGATTTGCATTTCTCTGATTAGTGATGATGAGCTTTTCTTCACATGTTTGTTGGCCACTCTGTGTCTTCTTTTGAGAAGTATCTGTTCATGTCCTTTGCCCACTTTTTAATAGGGTTATTTGTTTTTGCTTGTTGAAAATTCCCTATAGATTCTGGATATTAGACCTTTGTTGGATTCACAGTTTGTGAATATTTCCTCCCATTCTATAGGTTATCTGTTTGTTCCCTTGACAGTTTCTCTTGCTATTCAGAAGCTCTTTAGTTTAATTAGGTACCAATTATCAATTTTTGTTTATGTTGCAATTGCTTTGAGGACTTAGTCATAAATCCTTTGCCAAGGCCAATATCAAGAAGGGTTATTTACTAGTCTTTCTTCTACAATTGTTACAGTTCAAGGTCTTACATTTATATCTTTATTCCATCTTGAGTTAATTTTTATACATGGTGATAGACAGGGATCTAGTTTCATTCTTCTGCATATGGCTAGCCAGTTATCCCAGCACCATTTATAGAATAGGGAGTCTTTTCTTTGTGGCTTATTTTTGTTGAGATTGTCAAAGATCACATGGTTGTAGGTGTGGAACTTTATTTCTGGGTTCTCTAGCCTGTTCCATTGGTCTATGTGTCTGTTTTTATACCAGTACCACGTTGTTTTGGTTACTGTGGCCTTGTAGTATAGTTTGAAGTCAGGTAATGTGACACTCCAATTTGTAGCTTTTTTTTTAACTTTTTAATTTAATTTAATTTAATTTAATTTGAGATGGAGTCTCACTCTGTTGCCTAGGCTGGAGTGCAGTGGCGCGATCTTGGCTCACTGCAACCTCGGCCTCCCAGGTTCAAGCCTGTCTCAGCCTCCTGAATAGCTGGGACTACAGGGATGCACCACCACACCTGACTAACTTTTGTATTTTTAGTAGAGATGAGGTTTCACCATGTTGACCAGGCTGGCCTGAACTCCTGAACTTAAGCGATCTGCCCGCCTCAGTCTACCAAAGTGCTGGGATTACAGGCATAAGCCACTGTGCCAAGCCCAGGTTTGTTAATTTTGCTTAAGATTGTTTTGGCTATTCAAGCTCTTTTTTGGTTCCATGTGAATTTTAGGATAGTTTTTTCTAATTCTGTGAAAAATAACATTGGTAATTTGATAGAAATAACACTAAATCTGTAAAATGCTTTGGAAGTTGTGGCCATTTTAATGATATTGATTCTTCTAATCCACTTATCTGTGTCGCCTCTGATTTCTTACAGCAGTGTTTTGTAGTTCTCCTTATAGAGATCTTTCACCTCTTTGGTTAGATGTATTCCTAGATATTTCTTTTTTGTGTATGGTCATTGTAAATGGGATTGTGTTCATAATTTAGTCTCTCAGGTAGAGTGTTATTGGTGTATAGAAATGCTACTGATTTTGGCCAGGCATAGTGGCACTCACACCTGTAATCCCAGCACTTTGGGAGGCTGAGGCAGGTGGATCACTTGAGGTCAGGAGTTTAAGACCACATTGGCCAACATGATGAAACCCTGTCTCTACAAAAATAAGCCAGGCATGGTGGTATACGCCTGTAGTCCCAGCTACTCAGGAGGCTGAGGTAGGAGAATCACTTGAAACGAGGTGGCAGAGGTTGCAATGAGTTGAGATCAAGACACTGAACTCCAGCCTGGGTGATGAAGCAAAACTCCATCTTGAAAAATAAAATAAAATAAATGTTACTGACTTTTGCACACTGATTTTGTATCCTGAAACTTTACTCAAGTTGTTTATCAGTTCTAGGAGCCTTTTGGCAGAGCCTTTAGGGTTTTCTAGTTATAGAATCATATCATTGGTGAAGAGATATAGTTTGACTTTTTCTTCTCCTATTTGGATGCCTTTTATTTCTTTCTCTTGCTTGATTGCTCTGGCTACAGCTCCCAGTACTATGTTGAGTAGGAATGGTGAAGGATTACTTGATACCTTCTACAAGATGCTCTCAATGATCAGTATTAGCCTTACCTAAATTACCTAAACACAGAGAACACCAATAATCCAACATGAGCCCTTCTGCCCCTATTGTCATCAGATCCACAAGCAATCAGACCCAGGAACTGATGCTGAAACAGAACCAGATCTATAGTCAATTCTTGAGACACAGCAAGAAAACTAGGGAGCCTATGCTCTCTAAGAACACCTACATTGTACCTTCCTTAAAGCCTAGGCTCAAAATAGCCCTGCAAACCCATCTGGGCCACGCCAGTACAGAAGAGGGCAGATACAGAGGTCACAGAGCTGCTTTCATCCTGCCTAGAATGTTCTATGGTATCCAAAAAAAGGGCTATAAAATATTTCCCTTCTAAAAAAACTGGGTGGAAAAAAAGTAGGTTATGAGTATCTTAAGTAATATTTGGTCACAAAACCCAAGGAACTTAAAAAAATGGAATCTTCATTTTTGATAACTTAAATGAGAAATTCTAAAATTAAATATCCCAATATTGTAATTTCTTCTCTCTTTTTTAAAAAATAGAGACAAAATCTCACTATGTTGCCCAGGGTGATCTCAAACTCCTAGGCTCAAGTGATCCTCCTGCCTTAGCCTCCCAGGGCTGGAATTACAGGTGTGAGCCACCATGCCTGGCCATAATTTCTTCTCTAGCCACTAATTTGCCTTCATACACTCAAGCAAGTCTGTACTCAATTAAAATGAATGGCTGGGCACAGTGGCCCACACCTGTAATCCCAGCACCTTGGGAGGCCAAGGCGAGGTGGGCAGATCACTTGAGGGCAGGAGTTCGAGACCAGCTTGACCAACATGGTGAAACCCCATCTCTACTAAAAATACAAAATTAGCCAGGCATGGTGGCACATGTGTATAATCCCAGCTACTTGGGAGGCTAAGGCAGGAGAATCACTTGAACCCAGGAGGCATGGGCTGCAGTGAGCCAAGATCGTGCCATTGCACGCCAGCCTGGGCAACAAGAGTGAAACTTCATCTCAAAAAAAAAAAAAAAAACAAACAAACACTAAAATAAAAATAAAATAAAATGAATGGAGACTTTCTATCTCCCCCCAGGTTACAACCAAGGATTTTCCTGAGGCTGGCACTCTCTGGTTAACATTGAGTATACTCCTGCACCAACGATGTGATGAGGCACTGACCTTTAGCTGAAGTCTGGTGCATACGAATCTTTTTGGAGGCCACAAACTGCAGCACTTTCTCCACATTATTCTTCATCTCCTGTTGGTTACTGGGACTGAGCTGTACCCCACTCAGCTTTTCTCCTGCTGTTAGGAGTGAGAAAATATAGGCAGTTACAGGGAGGAATATTATCAAAGTTTCATAGCAGCTAGACAAAGAGGAAGGGAAGATTAGATGTGAACACCAACATTATACATAAGTATATAAATGAGTTAAATCCTGGTATTTGTCATTTAGATGGGAAATAGGAAAATGAAAGCCTTTTAGAAGGCTTTCAAATTTATACTTAGGGGTCTGTGAAGTTGCTGTGCATACATTTATTCAGTCAACAAATACTCACTGAGCATCTACTGAGTGGCAAGTAGTCACTGTTCTGGGCACCAGAGAAACAGGAGAGAACAAGAACAATAAAGTCCCTTTCCCTCATAGAATTTATACCTGCAGGAGTGGCAGACAACAGCCAAGTTAACAAGTAAGCGTTTAATATAATTTCATAGTAGCAGTAAGTGCTTGAGGAAAAATAAAGTGCAGTGACCATGGTCTCTCTGATAATACGTTTGGCAGCAGCTTGAATAAAGTAAAGCATGTTAAGATTTGAGGAGGAAGCATTCTAGACTGAGGAACCACAGGAACCAAACCCCAAGCTCAGCTTTCCTGAAGGATAGCAAGAGCAATGTGGCTGGGGGAGTGAGCTAGGAGTCAAGTCCTAGGAGAGGCTAGAGGGGTAAGCAAGGCCAGGGCGTGCAGGGCTTTCTGGACAAGAAAGGGCAAAGAGCCTGAATTTTATCCTAAGTGTAATGAGCAGCCAATGGAGAGTCTGAGACAAAGGAGTGACATAATCTGGTTCATGTTTTTAAAAGTTGATTGGCAGGGCATCATGGCTTATGCCCACACCCATAATCCTAGCACTTTGGGAAACCAAGGCAGGAGAATTACCTGAGTCCAGGAGTTCAAGACTAGCCTGGGCAAGATGGTAAAAACCCCGTCTCTACAAAAATAAAAATAAATAAATAAAATGGACTCTGTGTGGAAACAGACTATGCAGAGAGGAAATAGGGAGATCAGTCAGAAGGTTGATGAAAATAGTCAAGGCAAGACATGATGGTGATTTGGGCTACAGTGGAAGAAGCTGACTGATGAGAAGTTAGGTATCAGGTATATTGTGAATACAAAGCAGACAGCACATATGAAGGATTCAATATGATATATGAGAAAAAGGACAGTTAAGGACACCTTCTAAGTGTGCTGCTTTAACACCTAGGCAAATGATAAATGCAGTGTGTTACTCAGATGAAGAAACGTGGAGAATAAAGAGATTGGTGGGGGAAGGACAACCAAATTTCTGATTAGGACATGTGAAATTTGAGTTGCATGTTAGACATCTAAGTAGAGATGTTGGATATTCATGTCTAGAACTCAAGGAAAAATTCAAGGCTAAAGACACAAATTTGGGAAGACATCACTTAGGAGTAGAGAAACAGCACTCCAGCATTAGAGGTCAAGAAGGAAAAGAAAAGCCAGCAAAACAAATAAAAGAAGCCAGTGAGGAAGGAAGTAAAATAGAAGCTAATAGAATTCTGGAAGTCAAGTAAAGAAAGTTTGTGAAGAGAAGAGTGTTATCAACTATGTCAAGTACTGCTATGTTGAATAAAATGAGGTCTGAGGCCTGGCCACTGGATTTGATATGACCTTGAGGAAAGGTTTCAGTGGAGTGAGATCAAAAGCTTAAGGGCAGGTTAAAGAAAGAATAGGAAATAAGGAAGTGGATTCAGTGAGTATAGGCAAAATCTTGTGAGGAGTTTTTCTATCTCGCAAAGTCACAATAGAAAGTTGTGTTTTTGGTGACAACCCAAATTGAAAGTAAATTTTAAAAAAGAAAGAAAGAAAGTCGTGTTTAAAAACCTGGGTTTTGTGGGGAAAGGGTACGAGGGGGAAAAAAAAGAGCCTAGTTTTGGAAAAATAAGAATACATATTAGTATGACTTGTATAGACATAGACTGGGAATTTTCTTTGGGAAGAAATCAAGAAACTGCTAACACTAGTTGCCTCTAGAAGGAAAAATGGGGAGCTGGTGGGAAGACATAAGTGGAAAAAAGGTTTGACCTTATATCCTTTTGTACCTCTGGATTTCCTACTAGTCCATGTCTCACCTATTCTAATAAATGAAACATTAAATGTTGAAAAGAGGCTTTGGAATTAAAATAGAGCTAGGTTTGTACCTCTACTTTGGCACTTATAGTTATGTGACTTTGTAAAGTTGCTTGGCCTCTCTAAGCCTCATAAAATGAATAAAATAGTAGTAGTCATATTATACACCTGTCATAAATAAATCAAAATAGCATGCTTAGCTATTTTGTTTGACTCATGGTAAGTACTCAATGAATTTATTTATTTTTATAAATCTTCTCTTTTAAGCGTGTTTCCTAAAAGTGGGGATAATATTATGTTTCCCAAAGATGTGATGATTAAATGAAATTAAACAAGATAGAAAGTATTCAATCCTAGCAGTTGCTAGTACCATTGCTATTATTAGCTATTATTATTGTCATTACACATGAATACCCTGATGAATTCATAAACTGTCCTAGTGAGGTATTCATGGATGGGCTGCCTGTTGCAAACCTGGCTTCTTCCGTACAACTTACAGGCCCCATATCCCTCAAGAGCTCAAAGCAAAGTCAGCTAACATAACAATAAATCTTTGATAATCTATTATGTGCACTTGGTTAGAGCTTGTATACATGGAAAAATATTATACCATGCCTGCTCTTAAAGAGCTCAGTCCAGGGAGGGTGATTCGAAGAAAAGGAAAAAAAAAAAAAAGAGCTCAGTTCACACAGGGTAGGTAAATGAATGATAGCCACATAATTTCCATTTGATGAGAGAAATAATATGGACAAATGCTATGGAAATAAGGTTATGGTACCATCTAGTAAGAATGACTGGCAACAACCGCAGGGCTTCAAGAGGAAAAAAACCTTTTATGAAGCATTATGGTAGAAGGGTCCTTTTGCCAGTTAACACCCCTCCTTTTACCTGGCTACTACTTCCTTCTCTGGCCTTGGCTTAGATACCAATTTTTTGGCAGGCCTCAGTTAAGACATCAGTTCTGGTAAGCTAATCCCTGAGCCCCTAGGACTGGGCTGGGTATCCCACCTATGTGCTCCCATCCATGCTTACCCCACTGGAGTACTAAGTACATTAATGGAATTGACTTCACTTCCCAGCCTTTCCAACTAGTTTGGTAGACTCTTAAGAGCATAGACTATTTTCATCCTCACATTATCAAAGCATAACATAGTGCCTGGGACACAATATTTATTGACTAATAAATGAATTAACCTTGGACAGGTATTTTAAGTCTTCTCTACCTCCACCGCCATATATTCTAAAGAAAAAACAATCTGCTCTAAAGGGCGTAAGGAGGATAAAGAAGGCCATGTTCTGGTCTATGCTAGCATCAGAGTCCAGGGCCAACTGACCAACAATCTCGATGAGATATGCCAGGATCACCCCGTCCCGGAGATCCTGTCGCAGGTCCTGCACAGGCTTCACTGCTGGCCTCTTCTTCAGCTGTGCATTCACCCAGGCCACATAGGCCTGCAGCTGTTGCTGGAAAATAAAAGATAGAAGTAAGGGAAAGGTTGCATATTAATCTCATCCCTTACCTCGTACCCTCTGAGGAAGCATTTGTGACTGGGGTATGATAAACAACCTATGTCCAGAAGGAAGATAAATTTTTGAGGAAAGAAAGAAGAAAGATTGGCCGAGGCAGGCGGATCACCTGAGGTCAGGAGTTCGAGACCAGCCTGGCTAACATGGTGAAACCCCCATTTCTAAAAAAAAAAAAAAGAAAGAAGAAAGATTATATCATGGTTAGACACACAGCATGTTCACAAATTCTCTAGTTTTATACTAATCTCCAGGGATAAGCTAAGCTCGGTCTTGGATGGCACTGTAGACACACATAAGCAGATGAGTGTTTCAATGACCATGACTCTTGCTTTCCTCAAGTTTTGCTCTGTTGACCAGGGATGAGGGCTTGGCCCAGAACCACAGCCAGTTTTCAGGTATATTCACGACTGCCAGCAACCCACCATACTTGTCAGAAACAATCACTCATGCCATATGCACATTGGACTGTGATACTCATATGAATTGCTCTTGGGAAACCAGGAATAACAGTAAACCATGCTCAGAGCTGCCTCTCCTATAGCTGCTTTCTTCAAAATGAGACTTAAGTGAAATCATCTCACAGTCAACCCAAGATTTATTCTCCTGAGCCAATAATCCTAGGATTGCTACAGAGTTAGTTTTAATCCATGCTTTACATTGTCAAAGAGGATCTGGTTACTGAAAATCTACACAAAGAAGGAAAAAAAAAGGCTATAGTGAGCAATGTTACTGAAGACGAAGAGGCATTTTCATTTATTTTTAGACAAAGCTAAGGCCCAGCATTATCAGAAGCCGGTCAGGCACCTAGGTAGGGACATACAACTCATTCTAACCCTTGGACAGCCTTACATCCTACATTTTGTCCATTAAACAGAACTTGCATTCAGATATTTATTCTGATTATTTGGTCAAAAGATGGGCACTAATATCAAAATATCAAACAATGTCACAGTCCAAAAGTAGCAGCTCTGACTGGTTTCTGTAGCAGTCCAAGACGCTGAGCCTAAAATTTAAGTTCAAGGGCTAATTGTATTAAATTATAATTTGGGTATAAATTATAAATTATAAAAATACAGCTGATTCCTAAGCCCCAAGTACTTCCTTAAAGAAACAATGTTGGGAATTACTCACTGGCTGCTCCCTGAACATGAATTAAATCTTCATTATTTTCTCTCTGTGTCAATTTGTAAGAATAAATAACATGATTTGGAAGACAGTGCTAAGACAACAATCTATCAGCCACTGACACACTGTAGGAAATGCAATGATCAGGAGGAGGTGGGGGGAGGAATCTAATATTTATTGAGTACCTATCATGAACTAAACACAATTTCTGGTGTTTGACACATGTTTTAATTAGTTAGTGAATGTACCTGGGCCAGGGCCTGACATAAAATTGACACTTACTAAAGGATCATTTTTGTTATCATCATCGAATTCAGTTCTCAAAAAAACAACTACACTAGGGTTAGCATTATCTCCATTTTACAGATGAGGTTCAGAGAGGTTATGTAACTTCTCTAATGTCTCCATAGCTAGGACATAGCAGACTTGGTATTGAAACCCAGTAATGTTGTCCATGCATTTACCAAGGGCCTCTTGCCATCCAACTTACTCCACAGAACAGAAATGGCTGCACCTTCTGCCTCACATGGGACAGACACCCATCACCAAGGACCAGATATCTGCGATGCTCCAAGGTCTGCTGCCATCGTGCAGTCAAAGCACTGCCTGAAGCAGACCAGGCAAAGGGCACCTCTAGAGTGAACCACTCTGGTATCAGAGAAAGCAGTTAAGACCAGAAAAAGCACTAAGGTGACAGGTGAGACCTGATAACCTGGCTTTTATATAAAACCCTGAACCAATTTCCCTCTACCTATTATCATCCTCAACCCACCCTCCACATATTCCTGCTTAAATCTGTCACTGGTCTCCAATTATCCTCAAGATAAAATCCAATTGCCATTTAAACTCCTCATGTGCCAGTTTTTACCTGTTCTCCAGCTTCACCCCAACTCCCCAAATACCTACCATGCTTCAGTTCATCTGAATCACGTACAGTTCCCCAAACCCACCATGCTTTCCAGCTGCTCCACTTCCTCCTAACTCCTGCCTCTTCTTCTACTTTTTTTTTTTTTTTTGAGGCAGAGTCTCATTCCATCACCCAGGCTGGAGTCCAGTGGCGTGATCTTGGCTCACTGCAACCTCTGCCTTCCGGGTTCAACCAATTCTCTTGTCTCAGCCTCCCGAGTAACTAGGATTACAAGTGCCTGCCACCACACTCACCTAATTCTTGTATTTTTAATGGGGAGGGGGTTCACCATATTGGTCAGGCTGGTCTGGAATTCCTGACCTGAGGTGATCCACCCACCTCAGCCTCCCAAAGTGCTGGGATTACACACACGAGCCACCATGCCCGGCCAACCTGCCTCTTTAAGTCTCAGCTCACACATCACTTTTTTTTCAGAAAACCTTCCCCAACTTCTCAGATACTTCAGACTCTGATCTCCTTGAGGGCATCCTGTGTCACATGATCAGTTCAACAATAATTTGAGGCACTGTACCCAGTTACGAGGCTACAACAAGCCCCAGCTTGCAGGCCGGTAGAAACAAAGCTATGATGGGGTACATAGGGTGCTAACAGAGTATTAGTCAAACTTGAACCCCAAGCTTCAGAGGGTCTCCTGAAGGAGGCAAAGAAGGAAAGAAGACAGTGAGCTCAAAGGAGCTAAGGCCTGAAATAGGCTTTATGTGGAGAGTCACAATTATGTGGAGAGTCAAGTTCAGAATTACTTGACTTTTAGGGTAACAGGTGCTCAACCAATATTTGTTAGAATCAGTTCATCATTTGTCACGTTATCAGGTCAATAAGATGACTGCAAAAGTTAATTACATGCGGGACAAACAAGAACAAGCATTTTTCATGAGGTCAAGATAAATTCTTCTTAACTAACCTTAGTTTTTTCTTGGCCGTAGAAGTTGTCTCTGATGCAAAACTGATTAGAGGTTCCTAACAGTACTTTTCATGCACATTACTCACAGTCTGGTCTTCCAACAAAAGAGGGTTCCACAGCATCAACAATAATAGTCACCACTTTTCTGAACACCTACTTTGTTTCAAGAGCTATGCTAGGTTCTTTAAAACACATTTTCTCTAATGCTAATCTGGCAGGGAGCTGTTTTGGTATTTATTTCACTTATTGAAAACTGAGACACAAAATGGTGAAATAACTTGTTCACAGTTACCCAAACAGTAAATCATTAATATGGGATCCAGATATGACTCCCAAGCCAAACGCTCTTTCCACTCTGCCACACTACTGCCTAAATAAAGGCACTGCTGAGGCTTAAATGACTTCCCTAAAACACTCAGGATGTACCTGAGTCTAAACCACTCCCTCCACCACATCCAGTGCTTGAATCCTTTGTGTAATAAACTATACTAAGTGGCTGTCTACTAAAGTGTGCTTCCCAGATCAGTAGCATCAGCGACACCTGGGAGCCTGTTAGAAATACAGACTCCTGCCGGGCGCGGTGGCTCAAGCCTGTAATCCCAGCACTTTGGGAGGCCGAGGCGGGTGGATCACGAGGTCAAGAGATCGAGACCATCCTGGTCAACACGGTGAAACCCCGTCTCTACTAAAAATACAAAAAATTAGCTGGGCATAGTGGTGCGTGCCTGTAATCCCAGCTACTCAGGAGGCTGAGGCAGGAGAATTGCCTGAACCCAGGAGGCAGAGGTTGCAGTGAGCCGAGATCGCGCCATTGCACTCCAGCCTGGCTAACAAGAGCGAAACTCCGTCCCGAAAAAAAAAAAAAAGAAATACAGACTCCTGGGTTCCTCCCCAGCCTACTGAATCAGAACCCATATCTTAACAAGATCTCCCAGTGATTCATATGCACATTAAAGTATGAGAACCACTGACCCAGCCTGCTGTTGCCAACCTGGCTGCACAAGTCGCAAGGGAAGCTTTTCATAAGCAGACCTCATCCCAAATCTACCTGTTATCTCCAGAGGGTAGAAATTTAGAGAGCTGGCTGGGCATGGTGGCTCATGTCTATAATCTCAGCACTTTGGGAGGACAAGGTGGGTGGATCACCTGAGGTCAGAAGTTCAAGACCAACCTGACCAACATGGAAAAGCCCTGTCTCTACTAAAAATACGAAAATTGACTGGGAGTGGTGGTGCATGCCTGTAATCCCAGCTACTCAGGAGGCTGAGGCAGGAGAATGAATCCCTTTAACCCAGGAGGTGAAGGTTGCAGTGAGCTGAGATTGTGCCATTGCACTCCAGCCTGGGCAAGAAGAGAGACTCTGCCTCAAAAAAAAAAAAAAAAAAAGAAAGAAACTCAGCTTTCTTCCCAAGCTCTCCTATATGATTCTTACAAAGCTAACTTGAGTTTTTCCTAAACATTTCAGTTCCCTTAACCAAGAGGGTTCCCTGCCCCCTTGGTTAACAATCAGAATCACTTGGAAAACAAATACTAATGTCAGCCGGGCATGGTGGCTCATGCCTGTAATCCCGGCATTTTGGGAGACCGAGGCGGGAGGATCACAAGTTCAGGAGTTCAAGACCAGCCTGACCAACATGGTGAAATTCCTACTAAAAATTAAAAAATTCTCCAGGCGTGGTGGCCTGCGCCTGTAATCCCAGCTACTCAGGAGACTGAGGCAGGAGAATTGCTTGAACCGCAAGGCAGAGATTGCAATGAGCCAAGATCAAACCACTGCACTCCAACCTGGGCAACAGAGTGAGACTCTGTCTCAAAAAAAAACACTATTGTCTGGGTTCTGAGAGTGGGACCAAGGTATATCAGTATTCCTCAAGTGCTTCTAGTTACATGCAAAGATGTAAGCCAATGTTATACAGTTAAAAGTATTACTGCTTTTCTTTTCTTTCTTTTTTTCTTTTTTTGAGACAGAGTTTCACTCTTGTC